GAGCCAAGAGGGCGGAGCTTAACTGCAAAATCCTCATTTCTCTAGGAGAAATTAAAAACATATTGTTGAGTATCGTGTTATTTAAAAAATAATATGTATATGTATATTAGGAAAAAATAAAGCCTAAGATTAGGCCCCACCCATACCCGCCCCGATCTCAATTCCAAAGTGTGATGAATTTTTCATTCGTTGTTAGATCAAGGGGAGGGGCTTAATTGCAAGATCCATATTTTTCTACAAGAATTTACCATTTTAAACATGTTTCTTGTTCTGAAAACACGACTACATGTATATTAAGAAAAAAGGATAATTTAAGCCCCGCCCACCCACCCTATCTCATTTGTGATGATTTATTTTTTAAACGTCGAGAGCCAAATCTGCGTAAGTTAATTGTTGCAAAATCCATATTTCCTTAAAAAATTTACCACTTTAAACGTGGTTTAGGTTTCTAAGAATAAAAAGAAATCATTACAATAGAGATCGGGTGGGTTGGCGGGGTTTATATTTTGGCTTTTTTTCTTAGTATACATAGTATTCTTCGAACAACGCGATACTCAAAAACATGTTTTTAATTTCTTGTAAAGAAACAAGTTTTTTGCAGTAAATCTCCGCCCCCTTGGTTCACGGCGAATAAAAAAAATCATCACAATAGCGATAGGGCGGGTGGGCGGGCAGGCTCACATTTTGCCTTTTTGTTTTGAATATGTGTAGACTCCTTATTACAACATGAAAGTTAAAACATGTTTAAAATGGATAATTTGTTTTAGGCGCCACCCCATAATTGCAAAATCCATATTTCCTTGCAAAAATGTTGCATTGTGAAAAGATGGCCATGTATGTTAAGAAAAACACGACAAAATATAAGCCCCGCCCTATCTCGATTGTGATCATTTTTTTATTCGTCGTGAGCCAAGGGGGCGGAGCTTAATTAGAAATCCCTATTTGTTTAAAGAATTTACCATTTTAAACATGTTTTAAGTTCCTTGTTCCGAGAAGATGGCCACGTATATTAAGAAAAAAGGCAAAACCTAAGCCCCGCCCACCCACCCTACCTCAATTGTGATTATTTTTTTTATCGTCGAGAATCAAAGGAGTGAAATTTAATTGCAAAATCGTTATTTATTCTCAACAAGAAATTACCATTTAATACATGTTTTTGAGTACATATCTTGTTATTACAACAATACTATGTATATTAAGAAAAAATTAAAACCAAAGATTAAGCCCCACCTATACTTGCCCAGATCTAAATAGTAATGAAGTTTTCATTCGTTGACAAACCCAGGGGCGGAGCCTAATTGCAAAATTCATATTTCCTTACAAAAATTTACCATTTTAAACGTGTTTTTTAAGCTTCTAATAATAAAAAAAATAATTACAATAGAGACCGGGTGGGTGGGTGGGGTTTATATTTTGGCTTTTTTTCTCAATAAACATACTATTCTTTGAACAACACGAACTCAAAAACATGTTTTTAATTTCTTGTGAAGAAATAAGTTTTTTGCAGTCAGGCTCCGCCCCCTTGGTTAACGGCGAATAAAAAAATTCATCACAATAGAGACAGGGTGGGTGGGCGGGCTCATATTTTGCCTTTTTGTTTTGAATATGTGTAGACTTCTTTTCACAAGATGAAAGTTAAAACATGTTTAAAATGGATAATTTGTATAAGGAAATATCAATTTTGCAATTAGGCTCCACCCCATAATTACAAAATCCATATTTCCTTGCAAAAATGTTGCATTGTGAAAAGATGGCTATGTACGTTAAGAAAAAAAAAGGCAAAATAAAAGCCCCGCCCACCCACCCTATCTCGATTGTGAACATTTTTTTATTCGTCGTGAGCCAAGGGGGCGGAGCTTAAATGCAAAATCCCTATTTGTTTAAAGAATTTACCACTTTAAACATATTTTAAGTTTCTTGTTCTGAGAAGACAACCACGTATACTAAGAAAAAAGGCAAAATATAAGCCCCGCCCACCCACCCTACCTAAGTTGTGATGATTTTTTTTTTATCGTCGAGAGCCGAAGGAGCGAAATTTAATTGCAAAATCGTTATTTATTCTCAACAAGAAATTACCATTTAATACATGTTTTTGAGTATCTTGTTATTCCAAAAATACTATGTATATTAAGAAAAAATTTAAACCAAAGATTAAGCCTTGCCCTTATCCAAATAGTAACGAAGTTTTCATTCGTTGGCAAAGCAAGGGGCGGAGTCTAATTGCAAAATTCATATTTCCTCACAAAAATTTACCATTTTAAACGGGTTTTTTAAGTTTCTAATAATAAAAAAAATCATTACAATAGAGACCGGGTGGGTGGGCGGGGTTTATTTTTGTTTTTTTCTTAATAAACATAATATTCTTTGAACAACACGATACTCAAAAACATGTTTTTAATTTCTTGTGAAGAAATAAGTTTTTTGCAGTCAGGCTCCGCCCCGTTTGTTCACGGCGAATAAAAAAAATCATCACAATAGAGACAGGGCGGGTGGGCGGGCTCATATTTTGCCTTTTTGTTGTGAATATGTGTAGGCTTTTCACAACACGAAACTTAAAACATGTTTACAATGGAAAATTTGTATGAGGAAATATCGATTTTGCAATTAGGCTCCACCCCATAATTGCAAAATTGTAAAAACATGGATATGTATATTAAGAAAAAAAAAGACAAAATATAAGGGGGAGAAGCTCAATTGTAAAATCCTTACTTTTCTACAAGAAATAAAAAACATGTTTTTGTCACTCTCATTTTTGACCAAAAACCGCAAATATATTGAAAGTTTGACTAAGTTATATCGAAATTGTTTAGTAACTTCTGGGATAGGGAAATCGAGTACCAACCTAAATTAAAACCTCAAACTTAATTTCGCACGATTTCGAGATCTTACTCCAACCGGTTTGTGTGTTCATTCCCAATGGACAAGTCCCTCATTTTCGCTCGCTACAGTTGGTCAACGTTGGTGGTCAAATTTTGTCGAAATAACCTAAAATTCGTAATAATTTTGTTTCTGAGTGAAAAAAATATAAACATTTTCGTTGTGAGTCAAGTTTCATTCACAAGTGTTTAAATTTTATTAACCAACACCGCCCACCACTCAAAAAATAGAACTGGCAACCTTGTACTACCTTGACATGGAGGAAAAGACTAGAAGAAATTGCTATAAAATTTTGATGTCTTGATTTTTCATGTTCCAGCTGTTAAATCCATCAGGAAGTTACAACAGTGCACACATGGATGCACAAGAATTCTAAATGAGGCCTTTAATAAGATTTTAATAGTCAAAAGTTCATTCTACCAACTACTTCTTGTATATGTATATAGAAAAAAACGGTGATATTTTTATCGTGCTAAGTAGTATTAAAAAAACAAAACCGGTCTTCACTACGAGATATTAAGTACCGGATGACTATTAATGACTAAAACAAATTTTTGTATTTGTAATTCTTAATTATTGGCAACAATGTTAACATGTCAGTTCACACTTGACAACTTTGATGACAAGATGATTGGTGTCCTAATTTCATTTTGATAATCAGGTATGTCATCATAAAACTTTAAATATGTTGCCAACCTGACAAAAAATTCACGATCATGAACAAATCTAGTCAGGAATGGCTATGGAACATCTTGACGTGCGTTACATAACCTCAAGACAAAAACTTTAAGTGCACGTCAGTGTAGACTTTTTTCTTTTTAAATTGGCTCTTCGTGTGTAAGTCACGTTTCAGTGAACATAGTTTCGCACTGGTTCACTGTTAAGTGTAATGACAGTATATGTAGCAGAAAAGTAAAACTTTCGGTCCTTTTTGTCGTAATTTATTAAAACAATGAGCATGTAGGACACCAATTTTACGTCCTTCTCAAGCTTTTATGATTGGTTAATTTTATCACAGTTTACACACGATCGCGTTTTTTTATTAAAGCCAGACTTACACCGCACGAAATTTTCTAACCTTGCCACGAATGTGTTATCCATACAATGGCTATAAAAATAGAGTGACTTAATTAAAAAAGTATTGACATTTCGCTGCTCAAAAAAGCTTAAAGGTCAAAAAATGATGTTAGCGGCTTGTCATTGAGATCACTGGTGAATAATAACTTTGAGGAGGTTTGACAAATATGTTACAACTGTAAAACAAAATCAATATTTCTTTACAAGGTGACACAGCTTAGCAAATATGTAACAATAAACATTTTAATTTAGCTTTCTCTAAAATCCAAAGCTCTAAATTAATCGCCCGTGCATGCGTAAACCACCTGAAAATAAAGATATGACGATAGAAATAATCCAGACTGGTAGCTAAAGCAATCCAGTAAACACGTAACTGAAACACCAACTTGCGGAAAAACACTCCGTAGACAAAAACCCCAGACGACCGATTCATTGAACCACTAATCCCCTACAATTAAATATGGTCGTGGGAGTCTTTTAAATCATTAAAATTTGAATATAAAACAAATTCTTCCTTAACGATCATCTTTACCACGAACAGCTCGCCCACGACGTTCTTTGGCGGCAGAAAACCCGACATTTGTCAGTTTTGACATTTCTAAAAACTTGACTACCTAATGAACCCCAGCATCCAAAATAACTCTGCTCCTGTAACATCCAATGGCCACTTGCCACCGGCGAAAACGCATCGGATGCACCGTGACGTCACGCGAAGCTCAGCAATTTCTTTGACTGCACGAAAAACGCGACCTTGGGAATGACTCGGCCCTTCGTCGCGGCCTTGACCGCTGCGGAAATTTCCAGAAGAGGACGTCGCGACGAAAAATCAATGACCGTCGTGACGTCTCGATACTTTTCTGAAAATACCTCATTTTTCCCGATGGAAATAGCGCGGCCTACTCGGTTTGAAAATCGGCGACGGTTACGCCAAGGTTGCCAACCCAGCGAAAGCGAAAAATTCAAATCGAACTCTATTGATTTGTTGATCTTTGGGTTTCGTAATAACGGGCGTCGAGCCGTGGGTTTTACACAGGGTGTCGCCTTACCTTGGCGAATGGGGAAAAAATCCTTTGTCGAACACGCGGATTATGAATCACAGCCTGGTTGATTACAGTCCGGCACTAACATCCATCACTTAAGGGCCAAACACACGTACACACAGCACACGAGATTGAGATTAATGTGGAATCACATGCACATTTATGCAGGCGGCGGTGACTTAAACAACTGACTGGCTTGAGCAAGCCGACTTGGATGTCTGTGGACAAAAGACGAGCTTTGACGCAGTGGGAGAGAAGGAGGGAGCGATAACAAGCGGTCGGTGGGGCGCAGGCGCACACACGCACGCAGACCAGCTGTTCGATATTTTGTGTCGAATTCAAATCGACGATCGAGTGGCTTGGGATTTTTTGGAGGAGGAGACGGGAGGTGGCGTGTCTGAAGATGACTTATCTTGGAGTGTGGGCCGAGAATAGGATTTCCATCCAAGCTTGCAACGAAATTACAACGAGATTAGATTAAGAAAAAACAAAATATAGCTGACCTCCACGGGGTCGTATTGACATAAGGCGAATGGTCAATTTACTCGGGTTAAAAATATTCAGATTGTTTGAGCGCTGTTTTATTTATGTGCCAATCAATATCCAATTAAACGATCGCGTTTTATTTCTACGCCGCATTATTTCTATTTTTTTCAATTATATGCACTTTTGTGAAGGTTATGTCATGAACATATTGCAACTGTCAAACCTTAATCCTCCATTTCAGCTTCCAAAGCCCACTGAGTTTCAATTACCGTTGGCAAATGGCAATGAATAATGTATGTATTTTTAGGCGATACTTTCTTTATTATTCATACGTCCATACATAATACAACTTACGTAATATTTTCATTGTTTTTGTTTTTTTCTTTCAGGGTTTGTTTAATGTTTCGACTGGATAAAATATGGTGTCGGTTTGTAAAGCTGCAGATGACGTTCTCCGTGTACAGAAATACCAACAAGTGTCAACTTTTCCATTTTTTATGGACGCCACCGCTGTGTCATTATGTCACAACTGCGAATTTTTGGCAAAAACAACGTTTGTTACATATAATTACATTTTTATGATCAGAAAGTTTAGTTGACCTGGTCCTGTAGGCGAATCGCCTAAGTCAACTTTTTTTCAATAATATACTCGTAATGTTGTTATTTTATTGCCTATCGGATTCTGTTATCTCCGTTTTTATTTTTAGCACGACTGTCGGCTATTTTTGGGGAAATTATTACGTACGATGTTTACTTTTTTATTCTTGTTTCATATAATTATAGCAAGTGTGACTCAGAATAGATAAAAACAAAGGTTTTTGGCCAAAGAGTTGCTAACTTCGGTGCTTTGTTTCCGCATTTTCCAGAACAAAATGGAAATATCGCTTTATCAGGAGATAATATTGACAAAACTGAAACAATTAGAATTCTAGAAAATTCCATGATTTGTATCGATTAAACTTTTGTATGTTGGATCAATAAAACAGGGAGCAAATCTACACATTTCATTTACTTTCATAAACTGGCGAATTTTTAAACTCGAAGTGCGAAAGCATTATCGACTTTCCATAAAATTATCAGTGTAGACCGCTTGTACATGCTAAAGGCTAAATTAAAGCTATAAATCAAATCTGTAAACTCGGTGGACAATTAATCATCTTACTCTGAATTAATGGAACGTCAGCTCATGAAAAAGTACGAGTACTTGTAAAATAGGTGTATACACAGAAGCCTTTTAAATGTGTGCTTCCCAACCACATGTTTCAGTTCTTTGAAACGCACTTGGGAAAAATCGGTAATAAAATAAAAATACATATGTGGAAATAATAAAAATAAAAACTAAAAATAGTAGGTACTCATAGAAAAAAAGTAAAAGTTGCTTGCATCTCCGACGAAACCGAAAGTACGACCATCGAACTAAGAAAGTTCCTAAATAAACTTTTTTGAAGATTCTTCATGGTATAAATTTATTCCTATTGTTACCAGGGGCGGCTCATGACTTGAAAAATTGATGAGGCACAGCACAAAACGCTCTAAAATATAAATAAATCAAGTTTACTTAAATATTTTCTATTTAGTCAAATAAACAAATTTGTAAACTCATTTAACTGTCCACAAAGAACCAACGTGAAGGTGTAAGGAGGTCTTGCAAGGAAAAGATGAGAATGACAGGACAAAAGGAAAGGGAAGCGTGGTCAGAAAAAACTAATATAACTTCTAACAAAAAACAAAATTAAAATAAACTTTAAAGGAAACATATCGAAAAAGATCAAATACAACATAAAATAAAGCTAATTTGATTTATAACAAAAAACAAAATGAAAAAAATATAAAATATAAATACGGATTTATTTTAAATTTTTTTTTATGGATCAATTAACGATTTACTCAAATCAGGAACCGGCGGTTTTAATTCCTTAACTACATACAATTTATCATCATACGTGAAAGTAGAAAAAACAGAACTGCCATTGTCATTTAACGTTAGTAGAGAAAAATTCCGATTTACTCGTAATCTTAAATAACGATTACCGAAATCAAATTATGACAAGCACAAAGCACTAACGCGACCCACGCAAACGTAGGCACTTTTAAGACAAAATTCTGTTACCGAAACTTTGAATCAATTTATACACACACAGATTTGTGGCAAAATAATCAACGGCCTAATTTTGAATACTCCTGCGAATGCAGACTGCATTGCAATCGCACGTTCCCCGCGCGCAAATAATATAGTTGTCCATCTCTTTTGCAAGCACGGAAATGAGGCTAGCCTCAATTTTGTCTTTTTTCAACTCATACCGCTTATAAGTGTATTGCAGGTTGCTTGCCTATTAACGACATGATTTCTATATATGCTGTAGAGGCAAGCTTCGAGTCGGCCTCATTCGCGTCACAAAATACATGTTGTGCCGAGTGTTTAAGCGCGCTGTTTAATTAAGGGAGCAACGAGTACCTACCGAGATAAAAATAAGAATATAATTTTCTATATTTATTTTTAAAATTTTAGAAAAAAGACACAAATTATTGGCCGAAATGTGTCCGTATAAAATAATAAAAATCCTAATAAGGCGTAAAATTCATTGGTGAGGCACTGCCTCACCTGCCTCATAGGACAAGCCGCCCCTGATTGTTACACATTTGCTACATAAGTTATGAAATATTAACATTGGACCATTTCGTTCAGTGAAACCGAAACAAATTAATTCTTTTGTGTTTGTAATTTAGTTTACTCTGACTACTATTAGTTTCATTTCTTTAACATTTGAATGCATTCCTCAATTTTATGTGGTTCCGGACGTCATTATTTTGGCATTACAAACAGATTATGCGAAAATTTTGAAAGAATAATATGTCAGATTAAATGAGCTAAGTAGGTACAAATTTCAAGATAATAATAAGTCGGAAATTCAGAATTAGAAATATAAATGTCGTAACTCTGGAAACAATAGTTATGTATTTCGAGTTTATTAACCAAAATTTTCATTTAATAAGTCAAAATTGAAAATTTGTGCAATAAAACGAAATGTCGATTACATACCTGGAAATTTTAAAACGAAAATTAAAAATTTTATGTTTGTAATTGTAAGTTTCGTATTAATTACGTCTGAACTTCTGAATAATTTTGTAGATAGTAATCAACAAAATTCGAAAGAATGAGTGGAACTTTTCAATTAGGTAAGTTGGGTTGTCAACTTTTACCATTGTAGACATGTTTTAAGTTTGTTGTTGTCGAAATAAGTCTACACATATTAAGAAAAAGAGGTAAAATATAAGCCCCGCCCACCCACCCTGTCTCAATTGTGATGATTTTCTTTATAATCATCGAGAGCCAAAGGAGCGAAATTTAATTGAAAAATCCATATTTCCTTACAAAAATTTACCGTTTTAAACGCGTTTTAGGTTTCTAAGAATAAACAAAATCATCACAATTGAGATGGGGTGGGTGGGCGAGGCTTATATTTTGCCTTTTTTTCTTAATATACATATGATTCTTTGAACAACACGATATTCAACAAGTTTTTAATTCCTTGTAAAAAAATAAGTATTTTGCAGCTAAGCTCCGCCCCGTTGTTTATCGGCCAATAAAAAAAATCATCACAATTGAGATAGGGTGGGTGGGCGGGCTCACATTTTGCCTTTTTGTTTTGAATATATGTATACTTCTTTTCACAACATAAAACTTAAAACATGTTTAAAATGGAAAATTTGTATAAGGAAATATTGATTTTGCAATTAAGCTCCGTCTCATAATTGCAAAATCCATGTTTACTTGCAAAAAGGTACCATTTTAACCATGTTTTAAGTTTCTTGTGAAAAGATGGCTATGTATATTAAGAAAATCAAGGAAAAATATAAGCCCCGCCCACCCGCCCTATCTCAATTGTGACGATTTTTTTTTAATCATCGAGAGCCAAAGGAGCGAAATTCAATTGCAAAATCCATATTTCCTTACAAAAATTTACCATTTTAAACGTGTTTCTAAGAATAAACAAAATCATGACAATTGAGATGGGGTGGGTGGGGGGGTTTATATTTTGTCTTTTTTTTCTTAATGTCCATATGATTCATTGAACAACACGATATTCAAAAACATGTTTTTAATTTCTTGTAAAAAAATAAGTATTTTGCAGCTAAGCTCGGCGAATAAAAAAAAATCATCACAATTGAGATAGGGCGGGTGGGCGGGCTTACATTTTGCGTTTTTGTTTTAATATGTGTGGATTTCTTTTCACTACATGAAACTTAAAATATGTTTAAAATAAAAAATTTATATAAGGAAATACATATCGATGTTGCAGTTCCGTACCATAATTGCAATTTTAAGTTGCTTGTTCTGAAAAAATGGCTAAGTATATTAAGAAAAAAAATTGGTCTAAAGAGTTTAGACAGTACTTCCCTCGCTGTCGGAAACTTGACGACTGCATGCCTATTGTGTTTTTTTTCTCATTACATTTTTGTAGTGGGAATTTAAAAAAAAATTGCGATGACGTCATCAACATTTTTGCAAGGACACGTATATCAGTTGGGATAGATGTAGTGTAATACTAAGAATAAAATTATTATATTCTCAAATTTTCGGGAAAATGAATTGGGTCGTTTGAATATTGATTTGTAATAATCAATAAAATAACGAAACAATTTACTCACGTATACCTACGTATCAGAGGCAACTGAAAATCGTGTATGTATAAACATTGTTAATTTAAGATGACAGGCGTAACAGCATACGTGAGAGCCAAACACAG